AGTTCAAGAAATACTATGCAGCTAACTTCTCCGTAAAGAAAAAATAAAAATAAAAAGCTGCGAATATAAAAAAGTCAGAGTCATTTCTTACCACGATCGCACATGATTATTAGCGCAACACTCATCACGGGTGATTCCTCAGAATTAGCAATTTCCAAAATTGCTGACGAAAAGGAAGCACTTAAGACGGCTCTTAACCCGCCCTCCCTTCGCGCGCTGCACGTGCTTTGTTTTCCTGGCCACTCGAACTCCCGTCTGCGGGATTGGCTTCGGACGCCACGTGCCCCCCGACCGTATCCGCCCCTGGCCTTTGCGAGCCTTTATCAACGGCAGCCGCCCCCGCCTGAGACCGCCACTTCCCCCCGAGTCCTTCAACAGGCACGCGGCCCATCCGCGCACCGACGTCGCGGCAGTTGGCGGCTTCCTCGGCGGAAGGCCGTCCTCTCCGTCTCCCCGGCGGGCGTCGCGCGAGGTGACGGCGCCCCCAAGGCGTCGCGGGGCCTTGCGGCTCGGCGAGACCGCCTCCGCCTCGCGGCCGCACGATGCCCCGATAAAATCGCACTTCGCAGTAAAAGGGACCGTTGCGCTCCCGCCGTGTCGCCGCGCGTTGGCCCCGCGCGGTCGCGCCCTCTCGGGGTTTCCCGCCAAGATCCTCGCGACCGTGTGGGGAGTTTCGGGAACACACACCCGCGGCCCGCGCGCAGGCACGTCAGCCCCACGAGCTCCCCCGACCCCGCGCGAGACCCGAAAGGACCGCCCGCCCATTCGACGGCAAAGCCGCTTGGAAGCAGGACGCCTTCAACCCAGCCAACGCCGCACCGTGGTGCCCGGAAGCGTGACCCAGCGGCGGCCCCGCAGTCCCCTCCTTGAAGCCTGTTGCTGCGGGCCGCGCGATGAAACGCCGCCTCGGCCCCGGCGGCCCGTCCTTCCCCACAGAAAACGCCCACCCGCCCTTTGCGCGTTGCACCGACGCCGCCTGCCTTGCCCACCGACAGCGCCCCCTTTTCGGAAACCCGCAAGCTTGGCTCCCGTTCTTGCTTCTCGGCGGCGGCCGGTTGCTGCAGTACGCCCCACGCCTCGTCGAAACCGTCGCGCCACGTTGGCGCCACCCGCCGCCAGGTCCGCGCGAGGGGTGAGCTGCCCGTGCCAACTTGCTGCCGAAGCAAACGCCCCCCCCCCCTCCCCACACACGCAGCAACGCGAGTTCGCCGCGGAACACAGTGACCCCCGCAAAAGGGTCCCGCGCGCCCATGGCATCGCCGCCCAGCGCGCACCCGGAGGCCGCTTCCCAAGCCCCCCGCCGCACCTGTGGCTAGCTTCCTCGTTTTCCCTCCCCGCCCCTTTGCTGCCCGCGCCCGTCTCCCTTCCCCGCCGGCGGCGACACAGCGCGCCGCTCCCGCCCGCTCTCTCCCTGCGGGCCGCGTTGCGCGTCGTGGGAAAGGCCCCCGTGTTTCTTACTGGGCCGTGCGTTGTTCTTCCCCCTTTTTGGGGCACACGCGGCCACCTCGGTC